TAACTGCCAAGGGTGCTTCTTTTAATAAGGTGGTGGCTGCATTTATGGGGGTAGTAGAAGACTGGACTAGTGAAAATAGAATTGGGATAGAGTAGATTGGTTAATAGGAAGAACAAAGAAGGTGAGGAATTAATGATAGTATATGTTGTAGGATTGTTATTGGGAGTTGAGATAGAAACATTCGTTGTTAAAGGGAGTGTGGTAATCTCAGAAGTAGTAACTTGTGTAGAGGTCAAAGTGGAGTTAGAATAAATGTATTAGGTGTAGAGGAGGTGTTTGCAAGAAAGAGTGAGTCATCAATATTGGAAGGAACTATAAAGTTTAGATTAAATTTGGTAACAATAATATTTTCAGTTTGTTTGCATGCTTTATTGATATAGTAATTGGAAGTTTGAGAGGGTGAAGGTTGTTGATCTTTAATAATATCAAAGTAGATTATAATTCAAGCAAGAAAATCAGTTTCAATGAGATTTTGGGTTACTAGGTTGATAGGTTGATCTTTAGAGAGTTTGTCAATGTTGAGGTTTTGAGCAGCAATATTTTGATAGGCAATAAAGTATTTATAAAAGAAGATATTACGACGACCAGTGGATGTAGGAATGGAGTTGTTATGACAAAAAGTTTTTTCAGCTTGATCGGTTAATTCATGGAGAGTTGAGGTAGGAATTGGTAACTTAAATGTAGCTTGGTACTTATGATTGATGAAGAATATTAATGTATCAATATTTAAGTCTTATAAGTTGATATTTTCTTTAGGAAAAGTATTAAAAGAATCATCTAAGATTGATTTAAAAAGTTTAGATATATCATGTTTATGGTCAGAGATATAAGAACAGTTGATGTGTTTACATGTGAGTAGGTGAAAGTTAAGATGACGAAAACATTCATTACATCTATTTTGAAAATTATAAGGTTTGAAGAAGGAAATATCTAAAGGAAGTAAAAGTTTAAGTTGGGTTATGAACTGTTTTCTAATTTGTGACTGAAGAAAAAGTTTAGTATCTTCTTTGTTGAGAATAGTCGGGAATTGTTTACTATATAAAGGAAAAACATTTTCAATCCAGATATTAAAGTGATCGAAAGAATTTTTAAGGGATAGAATAGAAAATATATCAAGAAAGAGAGTTTTAGGAATATTAAAAAGTAATTGTACATTAAATCTGTTGTCTGATTTAATAGTAAGATATTGGTTATTCCTATTGTAGGAAATAACAGAAGAGGTAAATTTAAAGTTTTTAGGATAAAACTTGAAATCTTCGGCAAAATTATTGTAATTAATAGCTTGATAGTTGTCAGAGAGGTATAGATACAAACGAGCTAGGTTGAGGCAAAATTGTAATTGATTTGCAGTATTGTATGGGGGGACAGTAACAGGAGATATAAAGATTTCTGCATAGTTAAGTTTGGTGAAAAGAATTGTAGTAAATTTGAGAAGGATTTTTTTAAAGGTATCTTCAAGAATATGAAAAGGAATAGGAGCATCTTGATCAATAAAGAGATTAACCTTATAGATATAATCAATAAGAAAGTCAGACATGCACCAGCCATCACATGAATAATGTGATAAAGCTAGCTTTGAGAGGTAGCTTGTTGTTAGATATTGCCTTTTTAAGAGTACTACCAGGGTAGAAATTGTGAAGGAGGATTTTGAGGAATGTAAAAAGTTTTAGAGAGAAATTAGTTATAGGAAAATTATAAATCTAGTCGAAAGAAGGATTTTGTTTAGGATGGGAAGTAGGTTGGTTAGAAAGTGGTGAGTTTGATTTTTGTTGAAGTATGAAAGAGTAGGTTTGACCTTGAGGTTGTTTGTTTTTAGATATAGAACTTTGAGTAATTGAAAAGTAAGTTGGTTGAGAAGTAGAGGATGACAGATATGGATTCAGAAATTGATGAGCTTGAGAATGAGAAGGTAAAGATGAGGATGAGGCCACAGATTGAATAGAAAGTTGAGTAGTGGTAATTGGTTGAGTAGGAGGAGGGTTAGATATAGATTGACTAATAGGAGTGTTGACATCCATCAGTAGGGCAAAAACAGGAGTCCTGGGGTAAAAACCGGTAAGGTATTCAGAATTGGTTCCTTACCCCCTCTACAAGCC